ACCGGTCCTTGGAGAAGGACATCATGCTTGGGAGGGTGGAGGGACGGCGCAGGAGAGGAAGGCCCTCTATGAGGTGGATTGATTCAGTGACTGGGGTCATCGGGATGGGAGTGTCAGAGACAGTGCTATTGGCACAGGACAGAGCAGAGTTTAGCCTGTGGTACATAGGGTCGCTATGAGATGCAAACGACTCGATGGCACATAACAACAACAATGAAGAAAATGTAATGCACCACAAACAACCCAAAGAACACCCAAATCTCTCTTAGAAGAAGTGCAGTTAAGGTTCCTTCTAGAGACAAGGATGGTGAGACTTTACATACTTTAGGGATGCTGTAAGGAGAGGCCAGTCCCAGGAAAGGAACATCACACTTGAAAACATGAAGGGTCAGAGAAGGAAAGCAAGACCCTCGCTGAGATAGATTGACACAGCAACCAGAACAATTGGTTTAAGTCCCAACCAAGATTGTGAAGATGTCACGGAATCAAACAAGATTTTGATTGAATGTAGAATCTCTGTGAACTGGAGTCAACTTGATGGCACCTAACAACAATATCTTGAGCTACGGTCTTTTCAATTACTTCTTATACTTGTGGAGGCTGAACAATGAATAAGGAAGTCGGAAGAACTGCTACCTTTGAATTGTGATGTTAGCAAAGATTATTGAGTATACCATGGCCTTCCAAAAGAACAAGTAAATATGTCTTAGAAAGAATGAAATAAATGCACTCCACAGGAAAAGGATCATCTCAGGAGGCACTAATTTCTGGAGAAGGACATTATGCTTTGAAAAGTAGAGAGACAGTGAAAAAATAGGAAGAACCCCAAGGAGATGGATTGACACAACAGTCAGTTTAAGTACAGCAGAAATTGTAATAATGACACAGGATTGGACAGGGATCCATTCTGTTGTTCTTAGGGTCAATTAAAGCTGTAGCCTATTAGACAGCACCTAACAATGATGACAATAAAGCCAAAGGAAAACAACAACAACAAAAAATAAACTCATTGCTTTTCTCAGTTTTAAGCCTTGAAAATAGGAAAACCCTGTCTGAATTGTGCAATAAAGTAAACTCTAAAGTTTAAAGGACATAAATAAATAATACTGTCTTTACAAGATTCTGCAATGGTAAATGGATTTTAAAGTCATTGTTTCTTAATTTATCACCACAAAAAATGTGACATATTGTTTTTCTGCATTTTAATTGTTTTGCCCCTTTACTTTGGGCCCTTTCCTGGTGCTCTTCATCTTGCTGAGGCACTCCGGTTGACAAGCAATAATGGATAGGGATTTGGGCCGTATAATAACTCCACAGAAAAGCACACCCTGCAGGCTCCAGTCATTGCTACATACTCAAGTTCTGTTGTTCTAGGCTTGAAGTCATTTATAAAAACAATTCTTTGAATAGATATTGTTAACATATGGAAAATGTAATACATTACTTAAAACAATGCATTTATAAAAATTGAGGTGTCTGTGAAAATGCCAACAGGCTAATTCAAAATCAGTCACCTTGTCCATAAGTCAAGCTAGCAATAGCGTGCGTCTCATGCTGGCAAACATTTTCACAGGAAATAAGTAGATGAAGCTTGAGGCAAAATCCATTTTCCTAGACATTATTTCTAGCTTCACAGTGGCATTGTCTGTTTCAATTCACTCCAAACTTTTTGAGATTTCAAGACTAAAGTTCCTCATTTATTTTTGAAATCCTATTTAAAATCTGTGTTTTTCCATGCTCAAGAGTGTTAACTTGGAGCATCAGGAAACATATTATGGAGGTTTTTAGTTTATGAAGACCATGGTCAGAATGCCACAAAATAGAAAGTAAAGATAAAAGAAATGTATAAGGGAGCGCTGGTGTGCAATCCCAGAGGTACGTGGTTCAAATCCACCAGACGCTTTGCTGGAGAAGGAGGGGCAATTTCCTCCTGTACCAGTCAGATCTGATTTGACGATACACACAAAAAATAATAAAATAAAAGTCAAAAAAAGGAAATCTTTCACAAAAGCTAATTGTAACAATTTTATTTTAGTATATAGTGATAATAATTAAATCATCAGGCTTTAAACAGAGCTTAATAAGAACATTCTTAAGTTATTTTAGACTGTAGACTGAGTTTGTTTTGAATTATCAGCATATTATCTCTTATTGTATGTTGTTGTTGTTGTTAAATGCCGTCGAGTCGTAGGCAATTCATAGTGACCCTATGAAGGAAAGTCCTCAACACTTGTGTGACTTTCATCCTTTCTCCAGGTTCATAGGGTTTGTGGAGGAAAGCTATTTATGGAAGTGGATGCCGCTCCTGCCTCCAAGCTTGTTTTAATCGGGGAGCGCCACCAAACACTGTCCACCATGAGTAACAATTATCGCATTTGACGCATCAGTGTCACAGTGTTCAGCTTCACAGTGACCACAAGTTACCTCTGTAGAGCAAGTGGACACACCAGGGCTATACGACCTAGAAGAATGTTTGAACGAAAGCAATGAAAAACAGGCCTGAGGGCCAGAGATTAAAAGTCACCCACCTTTGTCTTGGTAGCATTGCTTTCTGTCTACTAGGCCAACTGTTATAATCTAATTTTATTTTAAAATTAATTCTTTATTGTATAGTATACATCAGATATATATAAGCTTTTGTGGCTTAGTGGTAAGGAGTTGAGCTGGCAACACAAAGGCAGGTGGTTCGAATCTATCAATTACTCCATGGGAGAAGATGGATAATCTCCTCCTGTGAAATTTACTGCCTCTGAAAAGCCACTGGAGGGTCAGCTAGCAGTTAATTCCAACAGTACATAACAATCACATATGTTACTACAATGAAATATGTGGGAGCTAGAATTCAATGGAACTGCCTTGTTTATCTGGGCCTCACAACTTTTTCACCTTTGACAAGGTGTAGCTTTACCACTTTTATTTCTCTCAGCTTAGTGAAAAATACTTGTCTTTTCCTTCTTTGACATATTTCTATTTTATTTATACAGGTTCTAGACGGATAAAAATAAATTCTAGAAGCTAAAAACCTAAGAAAACTTGAATTTTATATATAGTCAAAAGTTCTCTCCTCTCCTTTCTTTTTAATATAGAGTTAATGAAGGAATGTTTGTTGGAGCATAAGATAGCCATTTATTCTGATAAAATAATAAGTGTATTAAAATTGATCCAGCTTTCAGTACAAGTCTATATAATTTCTTAATTAGATATGCTACCCAGTTACTGAAGTGTGGTTTGCTTAGAACTGCACTGCTTTTCTTGAATATTAAAATGTCACTATAAACATCCCAGCCCATGGCATCTGTCTGAACAGCTGGAGAATTCAACAGTTCTTGGCCTTTTGCCACTCCTCATCCTAAAGAGTGTCACACCTAAGAATGAACTTCAAAATCTCTATAATAATGCAACCCTGATATTCAAAACATCAATTTTCTAGTCAGTTCTTGTCAATCACCAATCATTTTAGGGAGTATGAGAGTAAGGCCCTTTGTGAAGTTCATTGACATTCTTCCAAGCTATTCTTACAGCTTTTAATAAATTACTCTCCCATGGAACAATAGTATCCAAATAACTTGAAAGAATTAATGAACTTTTTAAGCAAATCATCTGTCCTTATGTATTTTACACTCTTATGATATGTTGTTATTACATATTGCACTCTTCTAATATGTTGTTAAAATGCAGGCTCATTGCTTTTGAGTTGGAATTGACTCATAGCAGGTTTTCTGAGGGTGTAAAGCAAACAGAAGGAAATTGCCCATCTTTCTCCCACAGAGCAGCTGGTGGACTCAAACTGCCTGCTTTTGGATTGGCAGTGCCACTCCTTGCCTACTAGGTCATCAGGTCTCCCTTCAGGTGTAATTGGCTCCTCTCTATTATTTTATTAATCTGCAGTTGTTTACAGCATGACTCACAGTAGGCTACCTTACAACAATACTAAAACTGTGGGGCAATGTGATAAATCAGCATGGTAAACTCCCATCAATTTCCAAGTAATTTAAGCCTGAAGTAGTCACTCAAATGACTCAGTTTAAGGAAAAACCAAAGCTATAATTATTTTTCTGCTCAGTTTATTCAGTATATACATTAAAATTAAAGGGCTCCAAATAAGCAATGCATTTTTCTGACCACAACTTCGTCTATTATTTAGGTGCCGTACTCAGAATTGGGTGGCAAAACTCTGGTGATGGCCGTGTATGACTTTGACCGTTTCTCCAAGCACGATATCATCGGAGAATTCAAGGTCCCCATGAACACAGTGGATTTTGGTCACGTAACTGAGGAGTGGCGTGATCTACAAAGTGCTGAGAAGGAAGAGGTAAGAAAAACCTTAGCACTTGAAATATGACAAGCTGTACTTACCAGTTGCTTCACTCATAATAGCAGATGGAAGGGTGCTCTTTAGAAAGGGTGAGGTGGGCCTCCCGTGCAGACAGGTCAGGCAAAAGAGGGTCAGGGGATTGTATCACCTCACTCAAAAATAAACAGGTATTTAAAATGTCATTTTAAGGAAAGGAAATTCATGCATGTGCTCTATAACAACTACCTAAGCATGTATTATATATGTGTACACATACATATAAAGAAATCTGCCTTTTGCAAAATGCCACCTAAAAAAAACATTTTGAAAAAACAACAACAAAATAACCAATCTGCTTCTCTAAACAGCAAAAAATCACCTTTTTCTTGTGGATTCCCCCCCCCCAGTTATTTTGTGTTTTCTACATTGCTAATGTGGTTATTAAATAGAAATCAAATGCTACTTTTCCCTCTGTTATTTCTGTGTCTTGCAGACAGTTCATTGTTTTTTCCTGAAAAGCCTCAGATCATGATGGGTGAAACATCAAATGTAATTCAAAGGTTGATATTAAGTCCACTTTTTAAAATGACTCACATTTCTGTAGTGCTCTTCACATTGCCTTTCCCTCCATTTTAATAGTTTAGTATTTTTCTAGGATTTGAAAAGGAACGTCCAATATCCTTAGTGCATTTAAATGGTGTAATAATCTGTTCTATTTGATTATGTTATGCCTGGCACAAGCATATTTCTGTGTGAGTGTCTTAGAAGACTGATAACAGAAAGCAAATAATTCTGAGTTTCCCTGAGCTGTTAAAACAAATCCTTTTCCAGCCTTATTTTAGGGTGCTAGAATGAGGCCTTAATCACCCAACGGATTAACCAACAACCTCACCCACTCACTGCCATTGAGTTGGAAGCAACTCACAGCTGACACTTCAAGTGGGATTTTAGCATCTGTAAATTACACCGAAGCTTTCCCATCTCTCTCCTATGGAGCAGTTGGTGGATTCAAACTGCCTGCCTTTGGGTTGATAACACAACTCTTCACTCTCCAGGCTTAAGATCTCAAAATTCCAAGGGAAGCCCTAGATGGCACAAATTCTTAGCACATTTCACTACAAAGGGTTGGTGCCTCAAGTTTACCCAGAGGTAACTTTGAAAAAAGGCCTGGCTGTCCACTTTAAAAAAACCAGCCATCGAAAACCCAGTGCAGCACAGTTCTACTCAGACATTCACATGGTCTCCATGGGTTGGAATTTACTCTAGGCAACTAACTATTAGATAACTAGGATTTTGTAAAATGTGGTCATTTAGGGGCCATCAGAGAGCTCAAATACCTTGTGCATAGTGAAAATCTGAACAGATATATAAAATGCTCAAAGCCTTCAGGGTAACAGCATCAGCCAACTCTATCCTCTGGGTATCCTTTCTGTTTAAGGTTTTCTATGACCAATCTAAAGCTATTATCAATATGCTCCCCGTATAATGAAATGAGGTTTTAGAACGTGTTTGTAAATTGCTTATGCTGCAATTGGATTTTGCTGGTACACTACTATTTAGGGAGCTCTTGTAACATAGGATATAGGGAGTTGTGCTACAGACCCAAAGGTCACACCTCTCTGGAGATTTGAACCCACCAGTCACTCAGCAGGAGGATGGGAAACCACTTCTTATGTAAAGTGTAGGACAACCAATGCATGAGCATTTATGACTCACTGATAAGTAGACAGTGGTGAGCTGACTTATACTATTTGTTTGGAGGCAAAGGTCAGAATTATTTGAATTAAAGTTGTTTAACATTAAGCTTAGGAGCTCTGGTATATTGTAGATTGAGTATTAGGCCACTAACCAAATGGTCAAAGACTCGAATGTACCAAACTCGCCATGGGAGAAAAAGAAAACAGTTTGCTCCCATTAAGATCTACAGTCCTAGAAACCAGCTGAGGGACACCGTGAGTCAGAATGAACTTGATAGCAATGGTTATTTTGGGTACAGAACTTAACCAGAATCATTCATTATCATCAAGCTGAAACCGACTCACCACTGACCCTCCAGTGAGTTTTCAAAGGCTGTAATTTTTGCCAGAGGAGAATGGCCAGTCTTTCTCCCTGATCCCTGTTAGATTCAAACCACCAAAGAGGCACTGTCTTTGTGTTAGCTGCTCAGTTTCCTAGGACAGTCTCATCTCTCAAGATGGAAATAGCCATCCTGTGAATTTTTTTAAGAATAAATCCAGGGATCTCTGGTGACCTAGTGGCAAGAAGCTGTCTTGCAATCCCAAAGGCACACGATTCAAATCCACCAGATGTTCCATTTGAGAAAGAGGGACAATACACACAAAAATTAATAAAATAAAAAATAAAAGAATAAAAATGTTAAAAGAGAATAAATGAAAAATAATATTGAATCTTTAAACATCATGATTTTTCTTTTTTTTTACTAGTTCATTTACAAAATTCAAATACAAATTTGAACAAATTCTTTCCATTTCCCTCACCCTCCCACTCATGATACTGTACAACGCAATGATTAATCCTTCCTTCCCCCTGCACATCCACATCCCTCTGCTTCCAGCCCCTCCCACCCCTTCTGGATCCTTATACTTATTCTACAATAACGGTTTTATACAATATTTACCCTTGTGAGACTAAGTTAGTTCACTTAGCATAATGCTCCCTCCCAAGTTAGGTAATAATTTACAAAGTTATTGCTCCTGCATGATTTTTCTAAGTAGGGTTCCCCCACCTTTGAATGAACTAATGTCTATGTAAAAATAGGCACAATCACAATGTTTCTAATCATGTTTTAAGAAAATAAGATATTTCACTCCAAAATCTCTGTAGATCTTCATTGAAATGAAAAATAAACAACCTAAATGGAAAAAAAAAAATAATACACAGTTTCCACATGAGCACAGTTAAATATTCTTGAATTCTAACACTTGCCAATGTTTTCATAATTTACTATGAGCTACACAATTGAATGTTTTTGTATACTCAATAAAACACAGATAAATATAAAAGATATTTCACTTCATATATTATTGAAATGTGTGACTTTTTGTGTATATTCCTATTAACTAGAGAACAAAGTAGAATCATAACAAGCAATTAGTTTTGTACCAGTTCACATTATTGAACTGGTTTGTGGTTGGCTTGTTGGTTAGAATATGGCCAGCTTGTAAAAATGCCCACCTGTCCAGGTTTCATGGCTCAAGACCCTTATCTTCACCTGGGTGTGCTTCCACCAAGGGATATGGAATTCCAGGATTGCACTCACTGGATGTCTGAACAGTTGATAAATACTGTTCTCAATTAAAGTTGTGGTCCTAGAAAAGTATGCTGACTCTCCCATGGCCTGCCAAAAGAACAAACAGAAGTCTTGGAAAAGGTGCAGCCCGAGTGTTCCTTGGAGATAATAATGGTGAAGCATCATCTCCCACACATTGGACATGTAGCTAGGCAAGGCTATTCCTTGGAAAGGGACATCACACTTGGAAATCATTGAAGGAGAGGAAAACCCACAATGTAGTAGATTGAGTTGGTGACTTCAGCAATGGGGTCCAGTGTGTCAGAGACGATGAGGATGGCACAGGGAAGGGCAGGGCTCAGTTGCACCATTCAGACGGTCAGTATGAGTCATACTTGACAGCACCTAACAACAACAAGAAGTCCCTGGGGGCTGCAGTTAGATGTTCCACTACCAGCCATAGGCTGGCAAGTGAAAATCACTCAGGGGTGCCTTGGAAGATAAGCTTGGCCACCTTCTCCTGAGAGGTCATGGACTTGAAAACCCTTTGGGACAGTTATACTCTGCACACCTGGATTCACCATGAGCAGGAACTAACAGCAACTAACAAGCCCTTTTCCTCTTTCAAAACATCTATCTATGGACCATACTTGTACCTCCTCTCTCTCCTTCTTGCATTTCTTTCCTCTTCCATATCTTCTCACCCTATCTAAGGGTTTTGTCAGCTTGTTGTCATGTACCGTCATGGGAACTGAACCATAGCTGACTCTCCAGCAGGTTTTCAGAAGCAGTTAATTGCACTGAAGGAGATTGCCCTTCCTTCTCCCGCAAAGCAGCTAGTGGATTTGAACCCTATGCCTTTGGGATTGCAGCACACCTCTTACCACTAGGCCACTAGAACTCTCAAATAAGCCACCAGAGTTGACTATGTCACCTAAGTCTTGCAAAAATATTCATTTTGGAAATATGTGCTAAGGAATGATACTTTTTGGAATTCTGCTAGGTATAAAAAAAATAAAGGAGGAAAGGGTAGACACTCCCTGTTTTCAAGAACTCAAGTGCTGCCTGTGTTTTCTTCAAAGTTTTCTCAAAGATTTTTCTTCATATCCCAAACCCTTGTCTTGCTTATTGGCAGCTAGATGGTTTCCTAGACTTCAGTGCTTACTAACTGGCTCATTAACTACCTCTAAGACTTTGGGAGATTAAATTTCTTTTCAATTCCTTTTTTAATTTATAAAATAGTCAATATTACTCGCTCCTTCCCTTACTTACAGGTTAAGTAGACTAGAATATAATCTGTCTAGCTGAGGAACTGGTATGTGATAAGGATTCAATAATTATAGAACATCCATTCTTTGTTCTTGGTTTGCTTTCTGTGTTTTCTCCTACCTGTGTTTCTGTCTACTTATATCTGTATTTCTCTGCAGCTTCATTTTTTCTCCCTCATCACAGTTGTACGTACCCAATACCTCTAGAAGTTTGTAAAGGGAAATAATAATTCCACAATTACAATAGCAAAACCCTGAAGCCTATCTTCATTGATAGTATACTCAGGAATAGTCATTTTTGGTTTTCACTTGACTAACTCTCCCTTTAACTTGATATAGGAAACCTCCTAAAACAGATGTCTGGTTTACAAAGTATCCATGCATGACTAGACTCAGGTACAAACTTTCTCCTAATAAATGAACTAAGCTTCCAATTACATTTCATATCTCAAGAATTACTTTTCCCTCACTGATAGGGCTCCGATCTTTCCCTGATACTG